AAAGCAAAATCATCCTTGATAATGGCTAAAAGTATAACCGAAAACGTTTGGACATACTGATCATTCAGGAAATTTCTACATAATTTATGTCCCAAAAAAGATGAAAAATTATAAGAACACAAGAAAAATCAAATGGAGAACTTAATTGCAATACCTTGAGAGTCGTTTTAATGAAACTTGTATAAAAGTGGGGTTGCTGCCCAAATAGACAATATATATATATATATATATATATATATATATATATATATATATATATATATATATATATATTTCATTTCATCTCAAGGTCCTAGAGTCCTTGTATATCAGATCCCGTGAGCCTTCCTTTGTAAGCAGAGGAATGCTTGCTGGGTCTGAATATTATTGACTCTAGTTTCTTGAAATATTTTTTTCCCCGTTCGATTACATTCGTTAATTAAAATTAATTTACACGCTTTTTTAAATTCCCAGAATAAATAAACTTGATAAGTCCTGGGACGAAACCGGTTGTTTTTATTTTAGCTTTTAAAAATGCCTTATAAATATTGTCTTTTCCTATCTATTATTAAATTCTGTACCACGAAAAACTTATTTAAATATATAATATATATATATATATATATATATATATATATATATATATATAGTTTTAAGTCATGCTATAATGTGTTAAAGTGCTCAATATAAAGGATAGAGCGTATGTAAATATGACTTCAATGTCCACACACACACACACACACACACACACATATATATATATATATATATTAAATATGTACAGCAGAATAGACACATACATTCACCGTACCAAGTTAATCAGTTCCATCCAGTTTGCAATCCATATAACAGGACACACTCACACACACGTACACACCAACGACACATATATACGACAGACACAAACACACACACATATGACCCACATACACACAGATGCGCGCACAAACACGATACACACGATACACACAACACACACACACGACACATATGCACACACACGCACATATACCCATGCGCATCTACACACGAGACATTCCCACGATACATACACACAAACGGTACAATAGTTAGCTTGCTAGACTTGCCGTCCATTTTCCGTATAGTGAGTTCGATTCCTACTACGTTCCTTACACCAGTCATAGTAGAAAATCCGATAAAGTAAAAAATGGCAGCTGCCCTCAAAAATGACGTTCATTCAGTTTGTAAATTTTAAAGTAAATTTAAAGTAATGGTTTGTAAATTTCGGCACCACCAAAACGAAACTCTAAAAAGGGTCTGCAATATAATCGATCCTGACCTGGCATCTCGACTTCAATCAATTTCTCACCGACGTGACGTGGCTTCCCTTTGTTATTTCTACAAATATTTTCATGGCAATTATTCAGATGAGCTTTCCTCCTTTCTGCCCCGACTGCATGACTTTAAGCATGCTACTAGATTGGCAGCAAGGTGTCAGTTTTTACGGTTGAAGTAGGTAGCTGCAGTTGTAGGTTGTATTCTATCATTTTCTTTTCTCGCACTTATTGCCTGTGGATCTCCTTTCCCATTTCATGCTCTCCTGCCACCTAGAATTTTCAAAAATAGAAATTCAACGTCAATCGCCATATTCTGTCTTCCCGAATCCTGTACTTATTTTTTTTTCTTATTTCTCCTCATTAAAGTCTTCTCATTCTCTTTTACTCCCTGTAACCCCCCCCCGCATCCTCGTGGAATTATCGCCTTGCTTGGGGTGAAATGATTAAAAACAAACACACACACAAAAACAAAACAAACAAAACAAAACAAAAAAAGAACAAAAAACAAAACAACAAAACTGATATCTTTTACTCATCTTAGATAACCTTTTTTACCCTTCAACCAGTATGGCTGATGCTAATCACCAGGAAAGCCTTTCCCAGTATCACGTTTTCGACTGACATGAAGTGGAGTGATGATGTTGAATCAATTGCTAGGTCTGCTGATAGGAAAATTGGTTTCCTGTGTCGTTTTAAAAAGGTTTTCCTGTCAAAATCTTTCTTGCGGACTTAAAAATCTACAGTTTGTCCGTGCATTGAATTCTACTGCCACATCTGATCTGGTGCTCTATGTCTGGAGATTCTTGAAAAAAATCCAAAGAAGGATCTGTAATATTATTGTCTCTAACCTAGCATCTTGACTTGCATCACTTTCCCACCCCCGCAACGTATCTTCCCTCTGTTTTTTGTTTTATAAATATTTTAAAGGTAGATGTTTTAATGAGCTTTTCTCCTTGGTACCTCAACCTCAGGAATTTAACCGTAATACTAGATTGCCAATTAGGTCCCATCATTTTACTGTTGAAATGTAACCGTAGGTTCTATTCTAACAGTGTCTTTTTATACACTTATTACCTGTGGGGGCACTCTTCTGGCTTCTTGCTTTCCTGACAACTAGGATCTTCAAAAATTTAAATTCAACATTTTCTCTCTTTCTGTATCTTGTTCTTTTATTGTCTTTTCGCCTAACTAACGTTTTCTCTTTTTGTTTTACTCTCAGCAAC